CTGTAGTGAACCTGATCTGACCTCAAATCTGATCAGATGAACAAGAGACTGTTATTTCATTGATCTGCATCCAGAAATACAGTTTGAGCCATCTGGTGACTTTCTTTCTTGAATTAATCAAGCAGAAAAGACAATTCTCTATGATCATTACTATTTTACAAATGTTTGATAATCAAATTGAGTTAGCTCACTCAATGCTTACAGGTTGAAGAGAACTACTCATTTTTATTTTACATAAACAGTAAGTAATGATTTTTATTCCTCATTCAAAGAAGAAATCAGGTTAATATGCATTTCTTGATTTTTCTGTCTGCAATGAGCAGGTTTTGTAAGTATGTTAAAGGTCGGTTCTCGGTCAACTAAAATGTTTACTGAGAAAAATGTCATGTTTAACTATTTGAGAAGATACAGCAGAGTGAGACTCCACGAAGTCTGGTTTTCTGCAATAATCTTTCTGTCTGTTGTTGAACAATCTCATTCTCTGACCTCGAATTTGATAACATCTTACATCACAAACCACACCTCTATTCTGGTTCATCGACCAATCAAAAAGCTCTCAAATGACCCGGAAGTCGACCCATTTAAAATGTGGCAACTTCCCAGTTCATAGAGTTGCTGCAGTTGCTGCGCTCAGGAATGAGTTCAACTAGAGAGTGCACAGAGTCTGAAGTCTGAAGCAGACGCTGAAGATTAATGGAGCTAAAAAGAGTCTGATGCTGCAGAGCTCTGAGAGTTCCACACAGAGTGCTGAAGAGTGATGGAGTTAGAGTTCTTGGATGCAAACGCGTTCAGGATGATCCAGAGACGTTTTGGGATTATAACTTCTGTTTGAACAACCTCGTACGACTCTCGAAGGATTTCAGCTGCTCTCAATGGAGACGCTGAAAGAGTCTGAAGGATTCTATACCGAGCTGATTTATCATCAACCAGGTAACGATTCTACTTCGACCAAGCGTACCGTCGCAAGCTGAGATCTGAAGGAGCGTGCACGTTTCTGGTCAAACAGATTAATTCCCTCACAAATCTCTCTGTAAGATAAATCTCCATTTCCATCTTAAACTCTGCTTTCTCTTAAAATCAGTACAGATATTTTAGAAATATCTGAAGCAAAATCCTCAATCACCGCCGTGTGATTGAAGTCTATTATCTGTGAAACTTGTCTGTTATTATTTTCATATTTTGCCAAATTAATGTAAATGTTTGATGTTAAACTTTGATTCTGAAAATAAATGACCGCATTCATTTTGATGGGTCAAAGATAAATAACGTCTCTCGTTACATTTCTGTTAAAATTCAATGCACGACATTTACACAGTCAGAAAGATGAGGAACTCGTGAAAAGTATGAATATATATCCCTATATGACATACTACA